CCTCCAAGCTCATCAACATCGTCCAAAACTGCCACTAGATCCCTCCATTCTTCGGTTCCCATCACTCCTTGACTAGTTTCTATACGCTCGGCTGCCGCGATATCCTCCTCTCGTAATACCGTTTCCCTCCGTCCTCTCGTTTGTGCCCTCAACTGTTAAATCAACTATGGGCCATTCCACGCTAGCTGTTGGACGATGTTCACGCTGCTCCTCTTCTTCATTTCTCCTCGTTCCCATAATTTCTGCGACCGGTCGGGAATCATCGCATGTCCCTTGCACTAGCTCCGTTCGCTGTCCAAAACAGCCGCTATCTGCCTCGTAGGTACTTCCTCCACCCTTGGGCGAACTTGTTGCCATGTTCGATTCCCCTCCGTCCTTCTCCAATTCTAGGGGCAGCTATATTGAATATGACCACGCTCTTGACATCGATAATCGTCTTTCTGCCATCGCTTGTCTTATTATACTTTGTTCGCTTCCCCGTCCACCTCCCCTACTCCGGCGCTCAGTCCTACGAGGCCGCATCCCGAGTATTACTTCATAGTTTCCACAGATCCATCTCCTATGCCACCCCAGAGCACGATTCGAATCCATTTTGATTACCAACCTAAACATATTCTATACTTTATATCTTTATAAAATACATACTTCGTACGGAATTCCTCTTTTATAAGTCAAAGTAATCACCAAATTTATTTAATTTACACAAAAATAATTATAACTTTTAATGAAAACAATTTCCTTCTAAAAAAAATTTCCTCTCCTTTTTTTTTCTTTTGGCCCACTGCCTCCTAAGCCTATCTTTGCACGCCGAGTAATTAATTATCTTTTCATCAAATAATTTGGGACTACGTCTTTTTCCCATCTCTAACATCTCCAATTTTCCTTTCCAATAATATGATCCCACACAACATATCGTTCCAACTCTTTTGACATTTTAATTTTCACACAAAATAAAATAACACTTGTTCTTTTCGACAAAAAAATTAGGACTATATAAATTATATTTGTTCCCTTCGACAAAATTTTGACTATCAACAAAAAAATTTACATTTGATAAAATTTGGCTATTATAAAGAATTTACATTTGATAAAATTTGGCTATTAGAAAGAATTTACATTTGTTTTCTTTGCCAATTCTATTAATTTCTCCCTCCTTCCCACCTGATTCCTATAGGCTCTTTTATTCCTCCAAAAATTGTTACGTCTCCCATTATGCTTATAGGCTCTTTTATTCCTCCAAAAATTGTTACGTCTCCCATTCTATAGCTCACTTATTCTCTCAATTATTATTATTTTCCTTCTATATACGACTTTCTATCTTCACACATGCTGACTCCCCCTTTTCCCTCCTGACTGGACCTAAGTCTTTTGACTTGACCTAAGTCTTTTGACTTGACCTAAGTCTTCCGGGGTTCATTCCTCTCTTTAACTTATCCCCATGTCTTATTCCTTCTCTCTCGTCTGGGAACTTTATCCTATGCAATTTGTGCCCCACGTTCTATATGACCACACCGGATTCCCATTTTAGGATACCCCCAAAAATTCCAGCCCAAACCGTTTGCCCCACCACGAATTTACACGCGTTATCCCCCGAATCCATCTCTGGTACCTCTTGTTTTAGCAAATCTAATTGAATGCGAGTTCTACGGCCCAAAAATTTTTCCGCCGGTGACAACTCCTCCCCTTTTTTACTATTATTATAATAGGCCGCGGCGATCCACAGTTCCCCCCCCCGCCATATTTCGATTTTCTTAACCAACTTTTAACCAGAGCTACCATTCTTTCCGCTTGTCCGCTTGAGCTTGGATGATAAGGAGATGCTAAGACATGTTTTACCCCGGTTTCCGTGCAAAATTTTTCAAATTGTCTACTCACAAAAGCGGGACCGCCGTCGGACACGATCGTCCTCGCTACCCCAAAACGAGCCCATAAATTCTTTAAGGTCTTTATTACAATTTGCGTAGTTAACCCTCTTACTGCCTCGTACTCTACCCATTTGGAGTATGCATCTACCACAATTAAATTGCCCCTCAAAGTCAAAGAAGTCGATGTGAATACGTTTCCCACGGTTGTGTAGTCTTGGGCCATACACTTTTTTTGTCTCTGTGAGGCATACTCGCCCACAGGTTACACATTTCACAGCTTCGGCTTATGTCCTCAATCTCTTTGTTCATTCCTGGCCACCATACATATTCTCGGCCCCATTGTTTCATTTTCTCAACTCCCTGATGCCCTGCATGAATCATTGCCAAGACCGAATCTCTCAATTTAAACGGTACTATACCCCGACTTCCCCGTACCACACAGTCATCCACTATAGCTAATTCCTTTTCAATGTATTTAAAAACTTTATCTCCGTCGCTCCAAGGTTTTCGCCCCTTTATACATGCCTTAATTCGAGTAAATTCACGATCCTTTAGAGTTGCCCTTTTAAGTTCTTCCCACGTTATCGGTCCTCCCTTGGCTATTTTGACCATTGCTCTAATTAGTCCTTGCTCCTTTCCTTCCTCTATATCCTCTTGAGCCATTTCATATCCTTCTTCTCCAGCTCCACACCTAGAAAGAATATCTGGTAAACAGTTTTCCTTTCCCCGTCGATATTTCAATTGTACATCAAAACTTCCCACCAGTAAGAGCCATCTCTGTAACCGGGGCGACAGCATCAGTTCTTTATTATCCTTTTTGAATAGGTGTATTAACGGCTTGTGGTCTATATATATCACGTATCTATGCCCAATCAAGTACTCACGGCATTTCGTCAGTACAAATATAACAGCCAATGCCTCCTTTTCAATCACGGAATACCTTGTTTCCGCGGCTCTGAATATTCTCGAGAAAAACAAAAGGTTTTTCCATCCCATCTATATAATGCAATAACGCGCCACCTACTCCTTTAATCGATACATCTATCGCCAACACCACCTCCAACTCGTTGTTAAAGCACATAAGAATGGGCTCCCTTCCAATTCTAGCTTTCAATTCTGCAAATGCATTCTCTTGTTCCTCCTTCCAATCAAATTTTTCACCCTTCTTTAGCAGAGTATATAATGGCGCAGCTATTAGAGCCCTCTACAAATCGGTGGTAGTAATTTACCATTCCCAAAAAAGCCTGAACCTCAATTTTATTATTCGGCCTCAACATATTCGCAATTCCCGTCATATTTTTATCCAACGGTCTAACCTCTTTTCCCGTTATTTTATGCCCCAAATATACGACTTCCGTCACTCCTAACAAGCTTTTTTCGGCACTTGCCCGCAAACTCTTTTCTTTAATACTTCGGAACACCTCCTTCAATCTTTGCTCATGCTGTTCCGGAGTTCTCCCCATTACCAATACGTCATCCAAATAATAGAATACGCCTTCCATCCCTTGAAAAACCGCAGCCATAGTCCTGTGAAATATCGGAGCGGATACACTTAATCCAAAAGGTAATCTACAAAGCGCAAATAACCCCTTGGGAGTAGTAATGGTTAACAACTTTCTTACTTCTGATTTTACCCGCAATTGCAAGTACGCGTTGGAAAAATCAACTTTTGAAAAATATATACTTCCCTTCAAATTCACTAAAATTTCTTCAATTCTCGGTAAGGGATATTTAACTTCTACGACCCAGGGATTTAGAGTCACTCGAAAATCAGCGCACAGGCGTAGTTGACCATTAGCTTTTTTCACAGGCACTAACGGCGTTGCCCATTCACTATATTCCACAGCACATATGATGCCTTTCTGTACCCATTTATCCAATTCCATTTCGACATCCTTCCTCCATTCAAACGGTACTCGCCTCAAAGCACAAAACTTTGGTACACATCCCTCTTTTAATTTGATATCTGCTTCGTAATCTTTTAAACAGCCCAACTCTTCGTCAAAAATTTCTTGATAATCATCCACCAATTTTCTTACTCCCCCCTGCATCCTGATTACTTCCAACTCTCCTTCCCAGTACCCACATGCCGTTTTTTGGCTCGGATGCTCCTTTGTCATTTCTTTTTTTATTATATTTTCATTATTATCCTGCAACTTCCCTTTCCCTTTCTTCGCTTCATTATCGGTTATCTCCTGGATCTCCCCCTCCCCTTGCCTGTCTTTTTCCTTACTCGCATACCCATAACTCCCCACCGCTAATTCTCCCTCGTAATTTCTTCCCACCCACCCCTTACAATTATTTTTTTCCCCTTCCTTTGTACAAATTTCTGCCCCCATCTCCTCTTCACTATTATTCGCCACTACTTCCCCCTTGTAATTATTCCCTATTTCCCCCTTATAATTATTCCCTATTTTCCCCTTAGGATTATGCGCCCTTATTTCCCCCTTAAACTTATTCGCTCCAATCCCTCTTATAAAATTGTTCCTTTCCATTTCCCTTCCCCACTCTCCGCTTACCTCTCCACTATGATTATCTCTCCTGATTCCGTCATTCCTAAACCTTACTCCCCGACCTCCATCCCTAATTTCTCCCCTCATTTCCCCAACTCCCTCCCGCTCCCAATTAAACATGTTCTCAATTCCGGGCAATACTTCCACGTCCTCATATGTCCTCCTCCCATCTGTATCATCACTCACCATCGGAACGAATACTCCCCACCATGCAAATACTCCCCCCCCCCAAAAAAAAAAACTATACCATGGACCAATTCGGGTGATCCAATCTCACCCCCATACCGCTTCTACTCTCCTATTAATAATCCATAAATCCAAAACCTCTATCCCTCCTTCCGTCATTGCCTCTATTTCCAGCCTTCATTTGCTATCATTCTATCGGGCCAAATACTCCTATATCTCACATAACTCATTACTAAAATAGCTGCTCCCGTGTCAAATAGCATAGGAACCCTCCATTGAAGTCTATTATTACTCTAGGACAAGGATCATGTATTACCTCGTCTTATATCATCCTTACATTCCCAATTATATTTCTTTGTCTTAGTGAATACATTTTGTTTGTTTCCAATAACCCACTCTCTTGGCCCCGTGTATCATTTTTTTTACCATCATATAGTCACAAATTAGCACAATCCCTTGCCACATGTCCCCTTTCTCGACATCGAAAACATTCCACGGTTTGATCTTCAACTCCCTCCGGAAATACTCCTCTTCCCCCAACTCTGGCATCCTCAATGGTTCGCACAGTTGAAGTATTTGGTCCCATTACTCTCTGGGGAAAACCTCCCCGAGTATTATAATTTCCCGTATTACATTCTTCCTTATTGTGACCAAATCTTCCGCAACCCGCGCATCGTAATTTCTCTTGTTTTCCTGGACAATAAGGGGTTATATGACCAAATATACCACATTCGAAACACTTTGCCTCCCTAAAATCTCTGACCATATGTCCTTGTCTTCCACAATTATAACAATTCATTCTTCCCCTCACTCTCGAATCAAAACTGTGTCTTATTTCCCCTCTACGCCCCTGAGAATCATCTCTAGGTCCCCTAAAAGGTCCCAACCTTTTATCACTATATACTTCCCTCCCATCAGGCTTACTTATTAATTTATCCACTTCACTCTCTGTCCATCCATTAATTAATTCTTGAACCGGCAACCATGTTACCTTTCCCATAACATCCTCCTCTCCATTATGCCCCTCTATTGTTAATGTCTGGCCCTTTATTCTCACGCTACGACTCTTTTTGACTCCTCTACCCCAAATCAAACTACACATCCAAATCACTAATATGACTAGTGCTCCCACAATATTATATTGTAATTCCCAACATTTCTTAAATTTAAAAGATTTCATTTTCTCTCTACAAAAAGTTAACTAATACTTTTAATATAAAGAGTTTAACAATTTGCAACGTTAATAAATAAAATACTATGAGAATCGTAAACAAACTATAGATGCAACTATACATATATCTTGTATGCCGTACAAAAATTTATTAATCCAGTTTTCCTTTTTTTTTTAAACCTTTTACTATGTTTCCTTATTATTATAAATTCAGGTTTTCCTTCTTTTTTAAAACCTTTTACTATGTTTCCTTATTCTTATAATTTCCGGTTTTCCTTCTTTTTTAAAACTTTTACTATGTTTCCTTATTCTTATAATTTCAGGTTTCCTTCTTTTTTAAACCTTTTACTATGTTTCCTTATTCTTATAATTTCAGGTTTCCTTCTTTTTTAAACCTTTTACTATGTTTCCTTATTCTTATAATTTCAGGTTTTCCTTCTTTTTTAAACCTTTTACTATGTTTCCTTATTCTTATAATTTCAGGTTTCCTTTTTTTTAAACCTTTTACTATTTTCCTAATTTTAAGATAACCTTTTTCCCGTAATGCGTCGGGGTCAGCACTGTTAATTTATCAAAACAACCCTATTTATATTTTTACTTCTATATTTCTTAAAATATCAAAACAACACTATTTATATTTTTTACTTTTCTATATTTCTTTATTTTTCCTTCAATATTTCTTTATTTTTTCTTGAATAAAAAATCAATAAAATATATATCGTACATAAAAAAAAATAATAATCGTTTGTTTCTTTTCGCGCTTATATATTTGTTTTTTTACAAAATCATCCCTTTTATTAATTATTTTATTTATCACAAGTCAATCAACTTTCTTTTTTTTAATATTTATTTATTCAACTCCTTATTATTCGTATATTACGCCATTATCTTCCTCTAGTGCTAGGCTTAATAGCTTGCTCCCTTAACAAAGACTATTACTTAATTATGTAGCTGGGCCAACATGCTTTCAAGATCTACGCTCTTTTAATGAAATTTTCAGTAATACTTTTAAAGATGCATGTATTCGACGTGGTCTGTTATCATATAATGCGGAATGGAACCATTGTTTAGAGGAAGGTCTTTCATTTAAGATGCCATATCAATTGCGCCAGTTATTTTCTGTTATTTTATTACATTGTGAGCCGAGAGATCCTCTAGGTCTATGGAATTTTTTTAAATTTTATCTTTGTGAAGATTTTGCCAAGAAAATATTATCAGAGCTGGATAACCTTATCAACGAAAATCTCGCGCTATGCCACATCAATCAAATTTTGATTCAAAATGGTAAATCTCTTAAGGATTTTTTGGGAATGCCTATCCCTTTATTAACCACTCAATCTCCATCTGCTACAGCTAATATTAGGTGTCACCTTATTCGGAAGGAAATTTCCTACGATACTGATGATATGTATAAAAAATATTTGGCTAACTACAATTTATTTAATCGGGATCAAAATATTATCTATACCAAAATTATGTCCTTGCCCTCCACTCCATCCCATAATTTAATTTTTATAGATGGTCCTGGTGGTACTGGAAAACAATATTATTTAACTTGAGAGCTCAAGGTAAAATTGCAATAGCTGTTGCATCTTCTGGCATTGCTACAACTCTTCTTCATAATGGCCGTACTGCACATTCACGTTTCAACATCCCCTTAAGTATTCATGAAAGTTCCTCATGTAATATTCCTTACCAAAACCAAGTAGATGAATTGATAAGACAATCGGTAATTATAATATGGGACGAAATATCAATGACTCATAAACATATATTCGAGGCCGTACATAGGTCATTTCAGGATATAATGAAATTAGACAAACCGTTTGGTGGTAAAATTATGAGATTTTAGACAGATTTTACCTGTTATTAAACGTGGTGGAAGATGCGACATTGTTAACTCAACCTTAAAACGATCCTTTATGGTCGCATATAGTGCCATTAAGGTTAGGTATTAATATGAGACTTCTACAATTTCACGAAGCAAATGATTATCTTATTAATAATAAATACTCAAAATTTCTTTTAAGAGTTGGTGAAGGCTATGAAACATTTGATGGCTCCAGGAATAAAATAAAAATTCCTGAAGATTGTTGTATAGCTTCCAATGATATCGAGGATCTTATTGCTTTTGTTTACGATATAGACAAAGACAATACGTCCTTTAACCGAACATCATTTGCTCAAAATGCAATCCTGACATATAAAAACGTAGATGTCGATTCTATAAATATTAAATTGATTAACAAAATTCCGGGGGATTTAATTACATACATAAGTGCTGATGAAACGATAACCGAGGATGAAGCGACGTTTTATCTTACTGAATTTTTAAACTCTTGAAGTATATCAGGATTACCACCTCACAAACTTTTACCCAAAGTCGGGGTACCTATAATATTAATGCGTAACTTAAATTCTGCTTCTGGTTTGAATAATGGGACTAAATTGATTATAACTTCTTTGTTACCAAATATAATTGAGGCGGAATTTGTTTCTGGTAGTTTTCTCAGTACTAAAGTTCTCATTCCTAGAATAAGTTTAATTCCTACAGTTCTGGCTTGCCATTTTCCTTTAAGCGCCGCCAATTTCCCGTGAGACCTGCTTTTGTCATGACAATTAATAAAGCTCAGGGACAAACGTTGAACAAAGTTCATCTATTTACCTCATCCTGTTTTTTCACATGGACAGCTATATGTGGCTATGTCTCGAGTTTGTTCTCCTCATAAATTAAAGATTATAACAAATGATAAAACAAGAACTACAACCAATGTGGTATATAATGAGGTTATATCCGATTAATCTCGGTTTATACGAATAAGAATGAACATTACCTAGCAGGGGCGGACTGGCCATAAGACCCGTTGGGCATTTTGCCCACGAGGCTGTGAGAAAATGTCGATTTTGAGGCCGATCGGAGGAAAATATAAAAAAAGAGGCCGATTAGAAAAAAAATAATATTATTATGTCCATAATATTTTCTCTTATCATTTATTTTTAATATCGCATTCCTTGAGAATTATCATGTAATTTACTATCGTCGCTTGACGCTATACATCATTATCACATGCTTTTCCTTGTTTTTTTTCGAATGAAGTGAATCGCTTCCTTTTGAGCTTGATTACGATTAGAGTGTAAATTAAGTTTTAATTAATTTATTATATTATATTTTTAATTAATTTATTGTAGAAATAATATAGCAAACTTTTGTTATTGTATTGTTCTTAATTCAAGAAAAGATATCAAATAAAACCCAGGTAATAATAATTTTAATAAATAAATTTTTGATCAATTTGATTTTCTAAAGTTTCTTTTAATATTAATTTATTGTTATTTTATTATATTATTACTAACTAAGCTTAACTCAACGAACACAGATTGTTAAAATCTCACCTAATATTTGGTTGCAACAATTTACTAATCATTTGCAATCAAATCTAATTTAATATTTATCTAGCTATTTTTTGAAATGTATGTAAAAAGTCAAAAGTAAACAACTTATTTATATTTCATAACCCATAGATAGTAATTAATGTTTTTTTATTTTTATAAAATTATTTGAATTTCCAGTTCACATCTTGTAATATTTTTTTTAGCCTTAAGTTATAAATTAATAATAATAAATTTTTTATATTATCATGCATAGAAATGCCAAAAGGAAATTTAAGAGTGTAGCTGAAAAATTAAGAGAAAAAGATGTTGCTTGTCTCAAAGCAGCTAGTGCTGATCCAAAACAACTTAAATTATCTTTCTTTGATAAATCAGTACCAAGTATTTATAATACTAGTACTTCATATTAAAAAATCTATTATTTTAGGAATATCAGCAACTACCTCCCATTCACATCTACCTGAAACAACTACATTATCTGCAACATCTTCTTTTATTATTGCATCAGTTCAATCATTGCCACACCCACCTATAACTATATTACCAACCATTACAGCAGATAAATTATTCACACACCCTGAAAATAGATTATCTACAATTACAGCAATTCCATCTTTATTATCCTCACACTTGTCAGAAGCAACTACATCAATACTGCCTTTAGATATTTCACAAAGTGGATTATCAGAATTGGATATGCATAAACATGAAAATTTTAAGCTGCAATTAACAGCTACTATACCACAAAAACTTGCATTCTTAATGCAACATCCTATACAACCAATAAATAGTAAATATGATAAATTATATTATCGAATGGTAATGAATGAAAAAATACCTAGAAAATGGATTACAATAGAACTAATGTGCAATAAAGCCAAAGCTGTGTACTGCTCAATCTGCCTGGCATTTGCAGTATGTGAAAACACTTTTACAACAGGCTCAACAAATTTTCGTCATATGCATTCAGTAATTAAAATACATGAAACAAAAGTACATATTAGTGCTGTCGAGGCCTACCTCAGATCATCAAAAAATAAGTCATTTGATAATTCAATTAGTATTAAAATATTAAATGAAAAAAATCGACAAATTTATAGCAATGTCCACATAATAAAACAAATATTTGAAATAATAAAGTTTTTAGGCAAACAAAACTTACCCTATAGAGGATCAAATGTTACTCAAACACTTAACCACTTTGAAAATGAAAATTTGAATCATGGGAATTTCCTGGAAATGATTCGTATTATATCAAAAAATGAATTAAATATTAAGAGATCATTTAGAGAAGGCTATTTTAAAGAGCAAACGTAGAAAAGAAAAGCTTAAACTCTCTGAAAAATCAAAATCAAAGGGAAGAGGTTCTCTCATAACCTTGTTGTCGAAAACAACTGTTAACAAAGTTATAGATGTTATTCTTGATCAGGTCAGGAATTTAATAAAAAAGGAGATTGGTAACAAACGTTTTAGTTTGCAAATGGATAGTACTCAAGATATTAGTGTTTATGATCAAGCAACTATTTGCCTACGATACATGT